AAAATTTACAAAAAATCTGAATTTAAACATCATCAAATAGTTGCCAAAATTTTGCATCAAGTGGAATCAGAGATACTGATTGATTTCTTGGATGGAAAGCAAAAGGAGAGGGTGGGGGCGGGGAGGTTGTTGGCGAGTCGAAAAATTTGATGACAAAAATTCAAAATAAATCGAGTTAATTGATCCAATGGTCATCCAACTTGGATTTATGTCTTTAATTGCTCATTGAAGTTTAAAATATCAAGTTTTGATCACTGAGTTTAGATTCATGTCGTCAATTGCTAATTAAGATTTAAAATGTCGAATTGTGACCACTGAACTTTAAAAAATATTGCACTTTACTTCACTAGCATAATTTTCGTTTAAAACCTCTAACGAATTGTGACGTGCCTGACATAATGTACACTTGATGTCCCGTCAAACCGTTAAACTTTGAGTTGGTCGATTTTTGGGTTCTAAATTTTGGAAAATGTCTTCTATTGTTTATTGAACTTTGAGGTGGTTGAATTTTGGCCACTGAACTTTGAAAAACGTCTTTTATTACTCATTATAAATTTGAATATAATCACACACCTATCCAATAAAATATTTTACACGTAAACTCAAAATTTTTCCCAATATTTAACCAAACATTCTTCACAAAATTACTATTTAAAAAATCAACCATCTCAAATTTTAGTGGCCAAAATTCAATTATTTCCAAGTTCAGTAGCCAAAATTTGACCACCTCAATATTCAATAAGCCTGGTCGAGTTTTTGCCACAAAACTTTGAAAAACGTCTTCTAAAGCTCTCAATAAATTTGGATTTAATTAAAATTCATTGTTAAAATTTGGATTTAATTTTACTTAACAACAAGTATATTCATTGTGTGTTTTATTGTAAAATTCAAATATTATGATGAAAATAGCTTCAAATTCTTTCAAAAAAATTTAATTTAAATTTAAATATTGTGTAATTGAGTAATCGTTTATAGTGATATGATAATGCTTGCACGGCTGTGCAAAGGAAGTGACTTCTAATTGCAATAAAAAACACAATATATTTATCGTAAAAATTAAATTAAATCCAAAATTTTTAAACAATAATTTTTAGTCCTTGTTTGATGGCCATTATCTAAAATTAAAAAAAAAAAACGAGTTCTTAAAATAATGATTTTTTATGAGAATGTGTGGTTCAAAAGTTGGGAAATTTTTTGAGTTTGCATGTAAAATATTTTATTGTATAGATGTGTGGTTAAATCTAAAGTTATAATGAGTAATAAAATATGTTTTTCAAAATTTAGTGGCCATGGTTCAACTTTTTTCAAAGTTTATTGTGAAAATTAACCCACCTAAAAGTTTAATGAGCAATAGAAGACATTTTTCAAAATTTAGGGCCAAAATTTGATCATCGCAAAATTTAACAGTGTGACGGGGTGCCATGTGTGTATTCCATCAGATACGCCACCAATTTCGTTAGAGGTTTGAAACGGAAGTTATGCTAGTGAGTAACATACAATATTTTTCAAAGTTCAACAATCAAAACTCAATATTTTAAATTTTAGTGGGCAATCTAAAACTTGAATCTAAGTTCAATAACCAAATTTTGGGTCATCAAATATCAATAATTTTCTTGAGGGTCACCTAGATCAAATGAAATGAGGATACAATAGACAACACATCTAGTTTAGAATGTGTGGGAGATTATTAAAGCTAGTGTCATAGAGGATCAATGGTGCAAGGGAGAGTGGGACTAGGAAATGGGAGGTGTGGTGAGTTTTGTTTGGGGGTTGAGCTGTGTCCGTTGGACAGGGGAATTGTGGTGGGGGTGGGGATAAGTGTCGGAAGGGGGACCAAGACCATATGAAAAATGCGAGATTGGGGACCATGCTGCGAAGATAAATACATTAAGGATGAAGTTGTGAAAAGTCAATAGATAGGGGACAAATATTAAGATCTTTCCAAAATCAAAATGAACCTTTATGGAGCTTTTGCTGGAAAATTAAAACGTTCCCATTTCGTGTCTATATTCCTATGGATATATTTTGCATCACTAAGTACCCGTTTGACCCCAATCTTATTCTTATTATTTTCGACCACACAATTTTTCATAAAATAATATTATTCACAAATCAAAAAATTTTCATTCCTTTTCAACCACACATTTTTCAAAAAAAAATATTATTCTAATCATTAAAATTTAGCAAGAATTGGGGCCAAACGGGGGCTAAATTTTAATTTGTCTCAATTAAGGGGTATCTCAAGCTTCTTGATCATGTAATCCTGTTCATAACCTCCCAACCGTCATTTTTCCGGGTCACAAAATCTAGTTTTCGGGTATCTGATCTCGAGGGTTCAAGTGTCACCATTGAGGTAATGGAGAATGAATGTTTATTTTTTGAGTATTAGACATAGTAGTCGAATTTTCTTGAGGGTTCTCCAAGAAGATCAACCTTGGGTCACTTCCTTAGTACTTCTCTCAAAAATTCTATTGCATAGCGAGGAATTCCCAACTTTCAACGGCACTAAATTTAAAATTTTACCAGTTGTCGTATTTCATGACCTATCTTCAAAATGATGGAAATTTCCTAGATAACAATGAGAACACAATTGATCTTTCACGTAATCATTACATGACATCTTTCGTAATTTTAAAATGAAGACTAAGTCGAGGTTGTTTAATAGTGAATTTGAGAATTGATTTTTTGATCGTTAGGGAGAAAAGTGGGAACCACATATTAGTGAAAAAATGAAAAATGACGATCAAAAAATCATTTTTTTGGGGGGTGAAAAAGCACTACCAAACAAATATATTTAGAGAAAAACATATATATATATATATATATATATGTTTTTAAGGCCATTCTTAAATCTGTGATCCTCGCTCTGGGCTAATGTCTCGACTCTTTCTAGGTCAGGGACTCCTCTACAACTCCGGTAGTAGAAGGCCTTCCTGCTTCCCCTGTGCATGTTGACCAAAGTGGCAAGCAGCATTCATTCAACCCGTGGTTTTGTAAGACCTGGCTCGTGCACTTTTGCATAACCTCTGTTTTCTTTGGGCATTGGAACAATCACAAATGTAGGAAGGCTCTGACAAGACCTATTGTTATATAATAGATTAATAGGGATATCTTCTTAACACAGTACTAGAATACTGAGATTATCAAATCAAGGAGCTTTGCTGAATTTGTGCTGACTTTCTACCTTTGTTTTACCTTGCAGCATTCGAGACTAATCAATGAACCCTCGAAACCTACTTTATTTTCTGACAAAATAAACCAAGCCTAAGCGATCACGACATCTTGTTAATATTGATTGAGTTGGAGGGACTTTCGCTGAGCACCCTCTTGCGTATATGGAAGTCGACCTTCGAAAAGATGAAAGCATTCGATCTTTCCCACAACACACACGCGGCGCTAAGGTTTCTGTGGCAACTTCGATCTTCTTTCCCCCATATAGATATTGAATAGAACGAGCTCGCTTCATGATTTTGTGACATATCAAATAAGGGATTGTTAGAAGAAACATGTTTGTTCGACGCCTCAACTGCCCTCTGCCACACATCTCTTTCCTTCGCTCTAGACCCATCCAAAAAATGGAGCTTTGCCCTTATACATTTGTGAGTTCCCACTATGCGGGAAGCCCCTTTATAGTCAGGGCTCGTTTGCTTTTCGCTCGATCTTGCATCTTTGGTATGGGTCGAATCATGTTAAAAAAAGGTTCGATGGTTGAAGGCTTTTTGAAAAAGTGTTTTTTGTCTTCTAAATGAATTTTTTTCTATTTAGAGAAAGGGGTTCATTCTAAAGGTCAGTGGTTCAAGTCAATAAGCGAGGAGACCCTTCTCACTCAAGCTCAAGCACTCGCGCGCGCGCGCACATAGACACACATATAAATATATAAATAAATAAATATATATATATATATATTACAAATTTATTTTAATTTTTAAATACAAAAAGAAGATTTAACTATTTAAAAATTAACTTAATTATACAGAAAAATCAAGAATATTTCAGGGACCAACCTCCAATTTTAAGAATTATAGCGGTGGTCTGAACACCCTCCACGAATTGGTCATATATCCCTTCTTCTTCTTTTTTAAACAGGGTTGGATTTCAGGCCCTCCCCACTCGCATCCGCCGCACATACTCCTTTTCAATTGTCATAATAAATTTTGTTGCAGATATGATCTGAATCATATAGGAAACTTCCTGTAAAAATGTGAATTTATGTTGCATATTTCATGACATGCCATTAATAATGCTTCAGGTGTTATCGTAAAAGGTATACACGCATTTTACCATTTTAACTCCATTTACAGCAAGATAATATGCAAGGAAACAATATGAGAAGGCTCTAATACCAATGTAAATCCATACCTAATCATGTTTCTACTTGTAAAGGTTGTAGAAACTTACTTGAATTGGAAATTTTTCAAGATTAAATATATTGAATCACTTGTCTTACTTTGCTTGATCTTGTTGATCCAAAACTCTACCAAATTAAAGGAATTCCTTTTACCACAATTCAAATGCCTTTTTCCAATTGATTCAATGCCCCAAAAATGTGATTTATTGACTTTTCAATTTTCACCAGTTTTGCATACCAATTTCATGTCTATTTCTTTTTTGATAGAAAGGAAATGTCTTGTGTAAACTTCTATTCTTTCACGTATTTATATTTTGGAAAGTTACTACAATTTGAAGAACAACTAATCCCTCTAACCCACTCTATTCTACTTAGGTGGGGTCTACCCATATGGTTTACCCTTCCATTTCCAACATGGAGGTTCAAACACGATATGATTAATAGGGCAAAAATATTCTGACTTTCAACAAGCTACCGCCATGCCTCTGATCACATATTAATGGTGTCCGCATCTACCAAACTACTCGACATCATACATCCATATCCGTTTCTCATTGGGTAAATTATGTTAAACTCAAAAATAAAGAACAAAAAAATTATTTGAAACGTATTTGTACTTTTTTGAAAATTTTGGGAGTATAACTGCAAATTTTTTCTTGTAGGGAAGGGTGAGTACGCAGGAGGTTTTTGCATTGTCCAATTCGGATTTAGTCCCTGGTAAATATGAAGGTCTGTATAATTTCTGTCTTGAATTTTGGCTACTACTTATATGCAAATGCAAACTATGTATATGTGCGTTGAAACACGTATATATAGATGTTCTCCGCAAATGGTTTTGGCATTCACTTGGTGTTTTTTTTTAATGACGGCAGGAGGATTGAAACTATGGGAGGGTTCGATAGATTTAATCAAAGCCCTTAGCTCCGATATGCAAGATGGGAAATTGTCCTTCGGCGGAAAGCGAATTCTAGAGGTGGGCCACTAATTGCTAAGGTGATTCATTAATCTTTACTTATGCCGGTACATGATTACTGCTCATAAAATCCATTTATTCTCTTTCATTAAGAACACTAAACAGTGGAGTTTTGTATGTTATATTCTTAACGATGCTGAATTTGCTATCATTGCACTAACTATACATAAATGCTGCGACAATGATGATAATACTACTTAAACCTTAACACCACTGAAACAACGAACAAGTGTATTCAACGTTTGTGAATGAACTGGAAAGACATGTTATACCAGGATCGAGCACTGTCAATCAAATCTTTCTAGCAATGATTACCAAAATCTTGCTTTAAGACTTACTAATTTGCTCCTGTCCTCTAATAATCTAAGACATTATATTTTGCATGCACGATCGCATAATAATTTTTGAGATGACAAAAGGAATTAATTTGTTTGAGTAGATATTCTGCATTTACACAATTCTCTTCTGGAAGATATCTGATCAGTAATCAAGCAGTTGAAAAAACATTATTTTTTACAATTTGAATATGTATGGCTTGGACATTTTATCATCTCTTTTATGAATGTACTACATGAAATTTTTAAATTTATGGTGAAAAATTATTCATCAATCATCAGATAAAGAATTATATCTGAGAAAATTAAAAATCAAAGAACTAAACACATATGAAGTTCAAAAATCTAACTTCATCAGTTATTTTTATTAAGCATTGCATCTCCTTACATTTTGTTCAACGCTTTTCAGAAGAGAAATGAACTTTGCAATGTGCTTTCACTCTTTTCCTTAATTTTACATTAGCCGGTGAAGGCATTAAAAGTAACTGGAAGTCTGTTTTCTTGCCACTTATTAAAAACTAATTCTCTAAATTTGATTTGTACCCTTATAATATGACAAACAATAATTTAAATCTTTAAATTTGGGAATTTCTCACATATAAGTTATCCTGGATAAGAAATCAACCTTCTTTTACATAACCAACTTTAAGGAGCTGTGGCTTTATACTGTACTATGCATTTGGTTATATTAAATTCTTTAATAGAATGCCTTCTTTTCTCTTCTATTGGACAAAAGCCAACTACTTTTCTATTATTGTATTTTAACCCAATCAAAGAAGGGTGTTTATACACGTGAAGAGAAGTCCTCCTACAAGAAGATGAAGAATTGCTCAAAGATTGCTTTAGATTATCTCTGAATATCTTTCACCTAAATATACATGAGGAACTGTGGAAATTCAAGCCCGTTTAGATGAAGCAAACATTTTATTCCTGTACCATACACATTCTTTTTCTCTCACTGTTGTAGAAGTTTGTCAGATGTCGTTTGTACATAAAGCTTTATGGTGCTAAACAAACCTAATATACATAAATAGAACATCTTGAAGCTTTCTATCTGAGAGTGTAGGGACAGTTGTACACCTCATTAAGGACTCCTACTTGGTATAGATCAAGGCTGACTTTCCCAATATAGTCATAATAGTCTGCAAGAAAGTTGCCGCCTCAAAAAGTACTACTGTTCTGGCATTGTTCAGATGTTTGACTGGATTACTCAATTACACAATAGTTAAATTTAAATTTAATTATTTTATCCTCATCCTCTGTGAAATATGTATTACCGTTCTGGCATTGTACAAATTTTTGACTGGATTGAAATAAAATTCTTGTGGTTTGGGTTTTCCCTTCCATGCTGACCCATATAGACTCTCCTTCATCATTTTCCAGCTTGGATGTGGTCATGGACTTCCTGGGATCTTTGCTTGCCTAAAGGTAAATAAAATCGCATTGGCATTTTGATTTTTATGATAATTTGCCTCAATAAAGTTACTTATTATTGTCTTTTTGCTGCCTTAGGGTGCTGCCACAGTACATTTTCAGGATTTTAATGCAGAGGTCCTGCAGCATCTCACCATTCCCAATGTGAAAGCTAATATTCAAAAGAAGTTTCCGTACTTGACAGATGTGAATGAGTACAGCAGCATTGAGGCAGATACTCGCTTCTTTGCAGGTGACTGGGGTGAAGTCCATTCCATTCTCCCTTTTGTATCTAGTGATGAGATAGCTGGTTATGATATCATTCTCATGGCGGAGACAGTTTACTCAATTTCTGCCCTCCCCAGTCTCTACGAACTGATAAAGAAGGTGCCTCTTGATGTAGTTTTCGAATATGTCCTTTTTATTTTCAATAATTTATTTGTTTGTAAGCTCCTTTCTATTGTCTTTTGATCAGTGTGGGAATAGTCCTCATGGAGTTGTGTACATGGCAGCAAAAAAACATTATTTTGGGGTGGGAGGAGGATCAAGGCGGTTTATCTCTATGGTAGAAGAAGACGGTGAGCTTCATCTTGTTAGATCTGCTCTGCACTACTATAAATGAGAGTGGATCATTTTACTATTTCAGCATTTCTTAATAGTGTTTCATTTCTGAGTCCGATAGAGACTTCTCTGCTGATCAGTTTTGATGCACTAAATCATGCTTCCTATTAGTTCTGAGTTCTGTCACATTACGTTTTTGTGTCATTTGTTTGTTTTTTCCCCATTTCCCTTTGTGAGTTGACTTAATAGTCCATGTCTACAAAGCACATTTTAGCAAATCTTAAATTATAACTTAAGTGGGTCGAACCTACGTATTATCTACGCATTTCGTAGGACTCACAACATACTATCAACTTATTATCCAAATATTCCGTAGGACGCAAGTTAAAGGCCCTACCAAACAAGCACTTAATCAGGTTGTTTTTCTTTTGTTCCTTTTGTGGGGGCATGTGCTACTATTTTTGTTTTTGCTGTTGTGCATTTATTAGTAATAGGATAATGATACTGGTCCTTTGTTGTTTGCAACATAAGCTTCAAACACCGAAGTGCTACTATTTTTGTTTTTGCTGTTGTGCATTTATTAGTAATAGGATAATGGTACTGGTCCTTTTGTTGTTTGCAACTTAAGCTTCAAACACCGAAGTGCAATAGCAGTCTCTCTTGATATAGTAATTTTTTCCTCTGCTATTATATTAAAATTCAGTGTTTCGAATCCTGAAAAGAAATGAGGCGGGCACGGTCTGTGGTTTTGAGTTTTCAAACCTCCAGGGCGATTCTTATGCCTTGTTCTGGAAGAAGTTTCTGGTCTGTGCCCTATCATAGATTGGCGTTCTGGGAATATTATTATTATTATTATTTTTCGGGGAAAATTAAGCATGCCCAATTAGTAGGTATTTTTGTATTTCTAGTCTGCTAAAGTTAACTTCTTCTGGTAGGTGCTTTTGCCTCTTCTCTGGTTTCTGAGGTTGCTGACGGTTCCTCTAATGTTCGAGAGGTGTGGAAGCTTAATCTCAAGTGATATTCTGTCTACATCAAATTGTATGCTGTGATTTTCCTTCTAATGAGGAGATTTCAAAGAGGGATATCAAGCTTTGGATATTTCACAGTATGAGTTCATATGCTTATATTAATATTTACCATATTATCATCAAGGATGTATGTTGGAAGTTTATATGTTGCATTTTTGCAACAATATTTTACTTTAGTCACCATTTATGATTACAATAAGCACTTAGGGTCCGTTTGATTGCAAAGATGAAATTTGGATGGAAAGAAAATGAATTACAGGGAATTGACAATTAAATGTGTTTGATTGGTAAAATTTTTCACTAGAAAAATGTTGAAATTTTTCATCTTTTGGTGTTTGATTGGCTTCATTTTCCATGAAAATTGTATTTATTTTTCAACTATTGGTGTTTGATAGCCATTTTGTAAGGAATTCCTATTTGATTGAACTACAAAAATTGATAAAATTTAAGTTAAAATAAAAAATTAATTTGACCTATATGTTTCATTAATTTTACAATTTTTTAACTACATATTTCATCAATTTTTTTATTTATTTAAATCTATTAAAATCTTATTTTTCTTCTAAACCACACAGGGTCATTATAGACATTTTTTTATCCAGGGAGTAGGGGACCTAAAGCCATGTTTTTTTTTTTTTTTTTTTTTTTTTTTAAATATATGTTTGTAGATTATAAACAAATTAAGTTTTATTTCATAAAAATACATTCTTTGTTTGGTAAGGTCTAGTAAGATCGACCTTTTAAAAAAATAAGTGGACGAAAAGGTGAAAAATTTAATCCTTCATCTATTTCACCTCACCTCTAGAAAATTACTTGTCATCCTCTTTGTTTAAGGGAAATTTTCACTTTGCCGTTTGTAATAGGACAAAAATTTGTAGAGTTAGCTAAAATGGCTATATCAAGGTTTTAATCCTACTCTTTTGTACCAAACTTATTTAAGGCATCCAAAATTTTAATTTCTCATATTCCAAAATTGTTATAACTCTATAATAATGCAGAAATTGAGTGAGAAAATGTGCATCAAAATAAAGCAAAAAGTTTTTATCAAATTTTAGTCAAAAAGTTCATTTGTAAATAATTATAAGATTCCAGTTGAGTAAATTCGACCACCAATGCACAAATTGAAGCAGTGACATATTTCAATTGCATTATTTGATGTCTACTTTTTGAACGTGTTTGTTTGGTACAATATTCAAATGTTGTTCGATATTTCTCATGGTGATGAATGGACCATGTACACAGCGCCACTTCGAAACATTTGGTATATCTATGTTGAATTTGAATGTCACCCCAAATCAACACGATATTGATAGTCTCTAGATATTGAATTGTACTAATAATATTACAAAATAAAGAAGATATCTCAAATATCAACCCAACAAACCCAAAGAAGATATTTGTCGTATTGTTGCAGTCCCAACCATTGTCATAGCATAGCAAAAAATGACTGCACACTAATTGACAAAACACATCCACATCAACGCATACAAAACACTGCACACTAGTTGTTACATGTGTGCATTAGAAAAAACAGTGAAAGTACTACTATGTGGATTAAGTTTTCCAAATACTTACACATTGATACATACTAATGCCATAAGTCAAGTACAGTCTAAGGTAGTGGAGGCGGATCACAACCAAGCTTGTCAAACACCAAAGCACGCATGTATTTAGTACTCGTCACATTCATAAATACTTTAGCCAAATCATCGTCGAATCGAAAAGCTTTCATGATTTGCATGATGTCGTCCATGTCTAGGTTTATGGCTTCTAGCTTCTCTATAATCAACTGCCAGTTGACATGATTCATTATATCTAGTGCAGTTTGCATTTCCATAGCTTGAGCAATTTTTATAGATGATTCGGCAATCTTCGATAGGTCGATAGTACTCTCATCCACTAGTTGTGTAGATTGATGCTTGACTTTGCTGGTCCCTTCTTCGTGGGACGCTTACGAGCAAGAACTGGGCTATGATCCATCTTCACATTTTTCATATCTACTTCATTCACACTTTCATCAATTACTGCATAAAATATTTAGCAACTTGTCAGAAGTTTATACATGAATACAATTAAAATATCGTACTATAAAATATATTGTTTACCATTCATTGGGGAAAATGGTCGAAGCCAGATACTGCGCGATCTCCAGTGGCAGCATCATTGCCGAAGACACTCTCCATCTCATTATATCTTGGACAACATTTGGTCCTCCACTTCCCAGATTTTGGCTTTCCTTGCAAAATAACCTTGTAAGTGAATTGTAACTATTACAAAACGCATACAAAAAACACACACACACACACCCACCCACCCACACCCACACCTGTTAGTATCAATGTCGAAAATGCATCATAATTCGTACCTTAATGAAACCGTCCCAAGCAGCGGCATCAACTACAATGCGTCCAGTTTTGGGATCCAACCCAAAATCGCTCATATTTAGCAACTGGCGAACTTCAACATACTCTTTTTTAAGAGTCTTCAACTTTACCCTGACATTCTTATCTGAGACCATGACCCCGCATTCATTGAGAACCCTCTTAATTTCCTTAGACACTTGAAATGAAGTAAGGCCATTGTCACTTCCTTTATGCCCATTCAGCACTTTTCAACAAGTGAAGTGATCATATAACCATCCATTTTATCACTCCAACGTATGTGATGAATCCTAGGATTAGGATCCACTAGCAATGTACTGAAATGAATGTCATTCCCGTTTGAAAGGGTGGTCGGTCTGACAACTCGAAAAGGGTCAAGAGAGCTTCGTCGATTCTGTGTCATCAACGCAATACTTGAAAACAGAAAAAGGTGAATATTAGCATAACTAGAAGGAACAATAGTATGTCTTGAAAACAATCTAACAATGATATAAACCAGCCAAAGATATTTGAAACTATATCATAGATGCAAATGTAGATAGCCTTGGAAATAAGAAAACATCACAACAGAACAAGCATCGAAGACAATGTTGCAACAAAGCAAGTGTAGAAGAAACTATAGTACGAGACAAGAACACTAGCAAGTTATTCTCCAACTATTATAGGAAAAGACGAATAATGAAATACAACATAGTGTATTCAATCGAAATCAATTTCTGCATCATGACTTGGATGGTAAACGGCACACATGTCATCAGCCATTGTATCCCTATTACTACACCATGCAACTTCTGCTGTAAAAGATATAGGAGCATTTGGTGTGCCATCTTCGGGTGCATCAACATGTCCAGGGTTAACCTCATCATCACTACTGCAATAGTTCTCGTCACAAAGATTCTCTGCGTCACAAATCCTTAAGAAGATGTGAATGGTACAACAAGTAAGGACAATCCTTGCTCGTGTATCAATGTTGTGGTATGGTTGATGTCTCAGATATGCGAATATTTTTTTAAGCAGTCCAATAATCCTCTCCACAACATTTCGTAGACATGAATGCCAAAAATTAAATAGCTCTTTCTTGCTTTTAAGCCAATGTCCCTCAATGTCTCTAAAATGGTACCAAGTCCAACGATAGGATGCAAAAAATCCCGGAACCAATAGAAATTCGACATCGGCAAGATACTAATTACCTATTCCACACATGGTTATTAAGTTATCGTTCTTTATTGAAAGAAGTGAAAGATAAATTATCAAACAAGATGTAAATAATTGTTAGCCTTTGACCTTGTCGTAAAGTTGCACTCCTTAACAACCAACCATCATGGGCAGATCCCTCCCAATCGGCAAGCACATACATAAACTTTATATCAAATGTACAAGCTACCAAAACATTCCGAGTTATCATTTGCTTCCTATTGTGATACTTCGCTTGTTTCTCTATGGGGACCTTTGCAGGAATGTGAGTACTGTCAATTGCCCCCACAAAATCCTGATATGAAAATCAAAAAGTTTGGTTACAAATGGAATACTGATAGTGAAGGGAAAATAAATGAAGTTAAATATTACCACTCGACCTGAAAATCTATCCTTCTCGTATGGTAAGTTATGAATAGTGGCATTGTTCACAACATCTCTATACAATCGAAGACAAGCCTGCAAAACTCTATGGAAATAGTAACTCACTGTTTGACCAGACCTGAAGAACGTAAAACTTCCAGTTCGATTACGATGGTCATGTCCAACGGTGTTGAGAAATATAACCACTTGTTCCTCTACTTTGACAGATCTATTGTTAACCAAGCCATATGTTCATAAACGAGTACATAAGCTTTGAAACGGAGCTATCTTCATCCTTAATAGATCATGACAAATTCTATCACTCATACCAAACATCTGTGTAAGGGTCATTTCTCTTTCAAAAACCCAGTTTCTATGTGGGGCTCTAGGGAGTTGTCGATTACGACGCTTGACGGTATTATATATTACAATTGCTTGCATGACCATCATCCAAAATAGTCCTAATTGTTGTCTTTGGCAACGACGTTGGTTCTTTGTGGTAGGCATGGTACTTAGAACATCTAAAAAGTGTTAATATGATTTAAATTATTGTTAACTATAAACAAAAAACAAAAACGTATATGTTCAATGCGAAAAATACAAGTACAAATGAGCTAACTCACATATAGTCCACTCAAATGGCTCTTCAACAGTAATGTCAAGTTGTATACATTCAATGCAATTATTGGTAGTGCAAATGGATATTGTAGATGTTCCTAAAATGGTAGGTATATTTACATTAATATTGTAGTATAAATTTATAATTATATATTTTTCTTGCAATTATTTGTTGATTTTAATTTTCAACGTATTTCCTACAAGGACAACCCACAACTGAATAACAATTTTACAAAGGTAAAATAATTCTTCCAAATGGGCCCTCACATTGTTTTGCATGTGATTAGCTCGATTACATTTTTTTTAGGGAAATACCTCCACCAAATCTAAGCATAATTACATTTCAAAGACTGTGCACATTATTTTGAACTGAAATACTTGGTTTGAAATGATGCAATTTATATGGCCCTAAAAGGCAAAAAAATACAACTATTGAAGTAGACAATGATATTTCAATGCTCAAATTGACATTTACAAACATATATGAAAAGTAGGCTAATCAAGATAATTGATCCTGACATACACAAAATTGATCCAGATTAAGTAGAAGGGGCAACAATAATTACTTAATCTATATTTTAATTGATCCAAATTAAGTTAAAGGGACAACAATATTTGCTTAATCTATATTTTAAATTCAACACTAAACAAAGCATAGCCATTGTTAAT